AACGTAGGTCTGTCACATGTTCCATTACGGGCCATTAGTACCATGACATGCTGCAGACAATTGTTGTGCCACAACTACAGTAAAGCTGGACCCTTACGTCGACCATTTTCATGCAGGATGGTGTGCCCCCACGTATCCATGGGTCCGTGAAGGCACTATTGCTCCAACAATTCACAGAGGAATGTGTTATTAGTCATTCCTTTTTAAATCCATGGCCACCACGTTCACCGGATTTAACCCCATGTGAAACGTTGAATGACTTAAAGAACTCCAGAACGTTTCATGTGCGAAGCCTCGCAACTGATAAGTTACGATCTGTTATTGAACACACTGTCCATCAACTTGAAATTTTGCAGGTGAATGAGGGTGGTCAAGTGGAGCACCTTTCCCTACATCGTACTGGGCACGATTACATCTGCTCCTATTGTGCAATTTCGTCCTAATCTGTTCTTGTTTCTAAAAACTTAACTGTTTTTTTATCACCCTTTAGTTAATGTGGTTCGATGACAAGGTGAGATCAGAAACTAGTCAATAAATGTTAATATTATTATCTGTATTTCGTTTGGTCATTTATTGTGTTAAATTTCCTGTTTTTCCCAAAAAGGCGCCCTCAGGTGGGCATTTTGGAACTAAAATTGTTTCCCAAAATTCCGTGAGTGCATCTCACATACAAAATTTCGTTGCATTCCGTTTACCCATATGCGCTGTAGGATGCCGTTTATAGAGTAAGTTTAATTATAACCACTGAATAAATTCATGTACATCTTAGGAAATTTTTAATATACAGGTCATAATTATTTTTTTTTCAAAAAATTTATAAATTTTCTTTCTAAATACAAATTTTAAAAATAAATCACAAAAAATGGATGAATTTTATTTGAAATGAACCTAAATTTGTAAATGTGAAAGGAAGAATCATATAAGTTTAATAAAAAAAAGAGATATTAATAAATATATAAATTCAATCAACATTGAGGTGAATTTGAGAACTGATTTTTTAAAACTATGCATACAATTTTTACATAACATGGCAGTTTGGCATGATTTCAGTTGTAGAATCGAAATATAGAAAAAAATTGGCATGTCATTTCAGAAGAAAAAGTAAGATTTTGTGTCAAAATACCTATATTAGAAAAATACTATATATAAATCTAATACATTCCTAGGTCGCACTTTTGAGACATAAAAACGCAATTTGGGTTTCGTTCATCGGCCCAGTAGAAAGAGAGATGTAGAACTGTCCTTTTTATATATAACTTAAAGTAAAGTAAAAAGAACAAACGATAAAAGACATATGTGGTCAAAAATTTTGCGCATTGTGCTGCAAAATTAAGGAAATTAGAAGAAAAATTTTAGTACGCAGGCTAAAAAGTTGCTAAAATACTGTGGTTCTGTGAAAACTTTAACATAAGCAAATTTAGTAGCAATGAATTGTGTTAAAAGAAAAAAATACAGCATTTGATTATTTACAAGTAAAAATCAACAATAATAGTACGCTATATGCTAAACTAATTAACCTTTTTGAGTCCGGGGCTTTGGTAGCAATAAAAGCTACCAAAGGACGGGAAATCTTGAACCGAATGCTTTCCCCCATTTAAGAAATTACCTCCCATTTGCAACAAAGATTCTTGTGTGTAGTCTAATGGATTCTCAGAGGGGTGCATCTATGTCACAAAAGGAAGATCTTTGAAAGAGATAAGTGGTTAAAACCCTAAGGACGTCAGATTAGACATTTCACCACACTTTTCAGTCTGGAAAATGGGGGAAAAAAGACATGGCCACTAAAGTGGACAACCCCGTCTTTTCAAAGAGAGGACTCTATGGCCACTATAATGGCCATTCCGTCTTCAAAAGGTTAAGTATATTTAAAACATAGTATATATATACATATATATATTGTGTGTGTGCGTTCAGAGTACAAATTAAGCTTTAATGCTTTTTTCCTTCTGCATGAAAAAGTAGCTACGATATACTGATAAACACAGAATGTCTATAACTAAAATGAATTATGAAAACTTCATTCAAGACCTTGAAAGATCTAATATGGTAAAATCTATATCTGAGTCCCTCTTCTTCCTCCTCCAATTTTTATTTCTTTACAGAAGATATTAAAGTTATATAGTCTTTTAAAATATTGTTGGGGAAGAATGATTCTCAGAATCTCATTCTCCAGCAAATGTTATGTCTAAGTATATTGAATACTACATAAAATATACCATTTATTAGTCATATAAGTAAAATATATCACTTCATATAAAGTAATTATTTTCGATAGTAAAATCATCAGTCTTTATATGTTAAATTTCTCAGCAGAATGGGACATTTTTATTTCCAGTGTTTTAAAAAGTGTTTTCTAAGGAAACTGATAGTAAATTCAAAAGCAACTTCAGATATTGTGTACTCTCATTACCAAAATTTTCTGTCTTGTTATAATGCCTTGCTAATATGAATATGTCATGAATATGACCTATAGATTACTATAATGCTATATTGACATCACCTCAATTTTTTGGTTCAATTCAACTGGTTTTGGATCTATCACACAAAATGCAGAATTTAAATATAAGAGGAGTATCAAAACAGGTTCAGATGGACTAACACAGAACTAGATACACTTCCCCACTCTTGCGTGAAAAGCTATTCATGATATCACACCACAGACATCCACATGTTTTTCTAACAGACCATGACATAAATTCAGCCTCAGTTATTAACAATTTCAGAAGGTTAAGACATACTTTACACTGTAATTCCAGTTGGAAAATCCATAGTAATTATGCAAAATTTAGACTTGGCATCTCTACCCCCTCCAAAAAAGTTCTACTACAGTCAAAAGTCGTTAATCCGAACTCGTCGAGACTTCGGCGATTCCAGATTATCGATTTTTCCGGATTATAGATCATCAGTTTAAATCTGGTAAGATGGCATGCACAAATTATAAAATTAAAAATATGAAACCGTAATTTATGAAATAAAGAACAATTATGATCTAAAGGGTATCAAAATTTACAAAAAAAAAAAAAAAAAAAAAAAAAAAGCTTAATATTTATTTGTTTACTTATTAAACATTTTTCAATGTAAGTTGTTTAAGTTGCTCGTTTTTATGTGATAATACTTCTCTTTAATTCTATAAAACAGACAATTTCTTGTTCAGTTACAAAGTTCCACTGTTCAAGTCCTATAATTGCTGTGTCGAGAATACCGACTAATTTGTCAATTGAAATTTTTTCGTTTTTAATAACCTCTGTCACTTTCTTCACTATCCGAAGCGAATTATAATGACGAGGAATTTGATTTAAATCATATCAAAGATGGAGTACATCCAGATGAAATACGACATTTAGTAAGGAATTATAAGCCAAATAAAATAAAAACATCTGCCCCGAAGATAAGGATAGTGCTGACAAATCAACTTCCAATTCATTGCACGCAGCAGCGTTAAAGATAACCAAAAAGTTTAGATAAACAAACGTTAAAGTTTAGATAAACAAAGGATATGCCTTTATCCATTTTTTGCAGCAATTCCACTTTTTGTTTAATGGACTTCGAAACATACTTTCGCTTTGTAGATCCTTTACATATTAGTAAATATATATCAGAAATTCTATTTGACATAATTGAAAGTTCAAGCTTATTTTTTTTTATAAAATTGCTCTAACAATCTGCAAAAAAAAATAAGCCGAATCCAATTTGAAGATTAAGGAACAACGCAATCTGCAACATTAACTGAATTAGGTAATTTTAGCTTAGCTTATACCGCCTGTTATACATGAAACGCACATTTGTGAACGTATTTTGCGCACGCATATACGCAGCCGTAAAGGTCTTACATGCATGCGCAGAAAGTTTGTAGCTTTGAGGTCCGGATTATAGATCATTCCGGATTATGGGTGTCCGAATTAACGACTTTTGACTGTATTCACTTTCTCTTAAATGCACTTCTTGAAAGGGATGATAAAATAAAATTAGAATTTTACTTACAATTTCATCAAACCTCTTGAAGTACACTTATGATTTATTTCTCTACACACTTTTAAATACAATAAAGCATACAAGAAATTATTTCTATAAAAGTGATAATTTTGATGATCTAATATAAATCTCATATATTAATTTAACAATTGCTTTAGTTAATCTGCCTGTTAAAAATTTACTGTGCTTTAAAAATATTTAGGTACTTTTCCGTTTCGCCAGCGCAAAGCTCACCAAGCAGACTTTATTGGCAACAACATACAGTATACACATAAAAAATGTTAGTTCTAAGATTTTTTTTTTATTTTGAAGGCATAAACATTTTAATGGTGTTCAAAATTTTGTAAAAAGCCAATAAATTTGTAAAAAGGCATTAATTTACGAATTTACTATGCTTTCATAGTTCAACATCCTAATTCACCGGTTCGTATCACGTGACCCCAAGAGATCTCATCTCACGTAAACTACGCTACAAAAATGTAATTCTCTCAGTAATTATTTACATTAATTTCAAGTTAAATCTTATTTTGGAATACAAGTTTAAATGTAAGAATTGTTTCAATTCATACAAATAACTTATTCAGAAATTATGTACAACTGCAGTGCTTTACTTCGCTGGTGCATTCCATTAGAATTGATGAATTTAACCCTTGACTTTGCCTTTACTATATTTTCGTCTTCGGGTGAGCGGTGTGATTGCTTCATAATTGACTTAATTACCGCGAATGGTCTTAGGGCATAAAATTGAACTATCTGGTAAACATTCTATGTAATTTTATGCCAGTATTGAAGAAAACAATCAATCTGATAAGAAATGGATGCAACTTGTTTTGAAAATAAGGCGTAAAAGGTTACAAGCAAGGATATTCCGTTTGGCATCAGTTGTACCATTTATTGGCGACTTTATCACCTGCGCTGGCAAAACAGAAAAGTATCAATATTTAAAAACCTCTTTCTAAATGTTATATTTTCTGGCCCAAACTTAAGACATACTTTATACTCTATTTCTATTGTTAAAAATAGATTACCTCATCCTCATCCTCTTTTTTACTTTTCTTATGTTTTTTGTGCTTTTTGTGTTTCTTATGCTTTTTGTGTTTCTTCTTTTTCTTTTTAGTTACTTCAACGTCAGATTCCTGAGCCTGTAAATAAGATAATCAAATTAAATGTTACTAATGTTTTTCATACCACATATAAATTTATTATGAAAATAAAGTAGATATTTTCCATTTGAAAAATCATAACCACTATAGTGAAACAAAAAAAAGTTTTCTTTGTAGAATTCTTATGTCAATGCTCCGAGATCACTGCAGAACTTTTACAAAACTGTATAGTACAATCCTGAAAATATGACACAGTCTCGCTACCAGCAGCTTTGTTTGATTCACAATTATACTTGCCACTGTTATAGCAAACCACAAATTCTCAGCGTATTTGGCCAAGAACAAATTGTTGGACCAAGCAACATTTACATATTTAAACATCTAAAATCTCTTTTAGGTGGCCAGCAGTTTCAGGCTGACAACAAGCTCAAAAAAGCAGTTAATATATGGTTTGCATCACAGGCAATACATTTCCATACCACAGGGATATAATTCCCTGTCCTCTGTGATGATGATGAGTATCTGAATGATTGCATAAATGAAGTAGAAAAATTGGATGTTTGATTAATAGCAGAAATTTTTAGTTATGTCCCCCCGGAGCATATCAGACATAAATTTCTGGAATTCCTACATATAAACTATTATATGAGAAAAAGTGACAAATTCATTTCATTTTAAATAGGACTGCATAAAGTGGCCATTAAAAATGGTTCAATTAAAGTAATATCAAAATATACTCGTATTTTCTTTTAATTTAATGAACTATTACAAATAAACTCGAAAGCCTTTATGTGATTCTTTATATTAAGACTACTCCACAGTCATTAATTTCTAGTAGAGATATAATTTACTTTATAATTTTTTTCATTCTATTTGTAAAAATGCTATTTAAAATATTTGGTTTTATTCCCCTTACATAAATGCATTTCATATGGCATAAATAACATAATTTACAAGGTTACTCATGCTATATTATACAAATTTTGTTTCAATAACATTAATTCATATTAATCAGCATAGGAATATAATATTATAATCACTTCAGATATTGCAAATACTACTCACGCCTTTGAGATTGAGCTGACAAATGACAATCAAATATTGGCATGTGCAGAAACGACATTACTTTCCAGTCCCCCTGTTACTTTGATTTTCTAAATTAGCAAAAGTAAATGGGAAACTTTTTTTCCCCCTCCCACAGTGGATTGCTTGCAACAAAAATATTTAAATTGTTATACATATTAAACATTTACAACACTACAGAAAGCCTTTGATGGCAATACTTTACCTAAAAACGGCAATTTTTTTAATCATATGTGACATTTAGGGTAGAGATTGCATCAAAAATGTGAATGGTGCTTGAAATAAAATGAAAAACCATGTCAAAATTAGTGAAAAATCCAGTCATTGCAGGACTATTTTCTTTGATTGCTGTGATAGTTCGCACCATTAATCCTGATTCACTGGCAAACTATCAAAGAATATTATTGAGTGTTTAGGGGTGTTTGCATCAAGTAATTCATAAAAAATGAACAAAGTAGTAACAACTTATGAATTTTACACCACAATAATATGCTTACTCAAATGTTCTTGCTGTTACTGAAATTTTTGAAAAAAAGTCAACAAATGTAACTGTGCAAGTTCTGTATGAATCTAACAGAGCATCATATGAATTTTTCTTCACCCTCCCCCCTTACAGTTAAAATTCCACTTCATGTCAGCCTTTTGGGTCTGTTGATGTACTAAAAGAACTTGCTGTAAGTTCTGAACAGGTTTCAAGAAAAGAACTTCAAAACATGTTTAGAGGATTGGAAAAAATGTTGACATAAATGCATTGTAGTCCGAAGGAAATGCTTTGAAGATTAAATCTTGGGTTTTAAAGAATCATTTTTGATATTTTTTTAATCAAAGTGATATATACCTGCCATTCTAAAAAAAAAAAAAAGAATTATTCTTTTTTTTAATGAATGAAGAATTGTGATCAATTCAGACATTTTATATGCTGATCATATTGAACACATGAAGAATACATGAAGAAGGACTGCATAAAGTGGCCATTAAAAATGGTTCAATTAAAGTAATAAATAAATCAATTAAAGTAATCCTTCAGAATAATTATTAAATCAAGCTTTAGAATTCGGTCAGCAACAATTTATCTTAAAATATTTTAATATAATCTTCACTTTAAATGTTAAATTTTACTTTGCCTAACCTCTAGAGAAAGACAATGTTTTAGAACTTGAAACATATTTATTTTATTTAAAAAAAAAAAAAAAAGATTTATTTATACCTCACTACTTTCTGTGCCTTTCTTGGATTTTCTTTTCTTCTCTTTGTGTTCTTTCTCTGTTCCTGGCAAAGAATTTCTTTTCTTATCTTTCTTTCTAGGTTCTTCATCACTAGGTATCGCAGCTGGTGGTGAAGCTGATTGATCAGACCGTTGAAGAGAACCGCTTCGTTTTATAGGTAGAACATTTTCATCTTTGATTCTTTCAGGACTGATGGATTTCTCTTTCAATTGCCTAGATTTCTTTTTCTCATGGCTCACTGTCTCAGAAATTACCTGAAAAACATGCTAAACATTACCCCCCCCCCAAAAAAAAAAAAATTATATATCACAGATTACAAATCAATATTTCTCAGACTTTTGGCTAATGCCTTAAACTTGAATTAACATTGTTACAGATAAAACAAATAACTTCAACCACAGCTTTGGATCCAATATGAGATATATCATTCAAATTTTTACCCTTTTTGGGAAGGGGGAATTGTATAATTTCACTGAACATACGAAGGTTAATCCAAAAAAAAGTTTACAAGCAGAAGCATTTGAAACGTAATAATTGTGGAGCAAATATTTTCACCCAGGGTGGTTGACAGATAGTTGTTGATAGCGCAAGTTGTCCTACAGCGGTTTTACGAGTAAGTAGCGTCAGTATGCAGACACTTAAGAGCAACAGTAATGGCACGGCGTCTAGAAAAGTAATCTCGCATAAAGGTGCGAGCCGTAATTCGATTCTTATGGGCCAAGAATGTGGCCGCATCCAAAATTCACAGACAAATCGTTGAGGTATACGGGGACAAAGCAATGAGTAAACAACAGGTAGCGAAATGGTGTTGTTCTTATCAAGCGGGCAGGGAGCATGTGGAAAACGCAATATGGAAGTGAGCGGCAGTCCACGTTCTTCAAGGACGGATAATAACACGGCACGTGTTGAAGAAATTATCCAAAGGGATCGACAAGTAACCATGCGTGAGATTGCCTCAGAGTTGGACCTGAGTTACGGTAACGTTCAGCAGCGTATTGTAACCGATGAGTTGTGATATTCCAAAGTTTGTGCCCGCTGGGTTTCACATGCGTTGTCCGCGGAGCATAAGGCCACTCGAATGATGTGCAGCCTCACCTTTCTTCAGTGATGCCATTCAGACGGCCAACACTTCATTGATCGCATCGTTACCAGTGATGAAACATGGCTTCATCACTTCATGGATGGAGTGGAAACACGCTGGATTACCAACGAGGAAGAAGTTTAAGGTCACATCCTCTGCCAGTAAAGCGATGGCAACCGTTTTCTGGGATACGACTGGTGGTATCCTAATCGAGTATTTGGAGCGTGGCCATACCATTAAGGCCGATCTTTATTGTGCCACCTTAACGAAAATGCGTAAAGCCATCCGACGCAAACACCCTGGATTACTGAGCAAAGGCGTCATTCTTCTGCATGACAATGCCAGGCCCCATACAGCTCCCCAGACTCAGGAATTGCTGCAAAGGTTCAAGTGGGAGGTCTGGAATCACCACCCATACAGACCTGATTTGGCTTCAAGTGACTATTACATTTTTCCGGCATTGAAGCGATACTTATCCGGAACACGGTTCACCTCAGACAATGCGTGAAAACAGCTGCCGAGAAATGGCTCAACGAGCAGGGCCTTGATTACTACCAAAATGGGATAAACAAGTTGGTCGAACGTTCTGACAAATGCCTAAACAGGTTTGACGACTATGCGGAAAAGTGAAGGCCAGATGTGTCTCTTGATTCCCATTTGCATCTTGTTTCTATTGTTAATAAATACCTTTTCATTTACCTCGTAAACTTTTTTTTGGATTACCCCTTGTAAAACCTATACATCCAAAGCTATGCTTGGAAAGAAAATCTAAAGAGAATTTAAACATCAAATTCCATATAAATGAGAATAACTGATACTTTGTTATTCAGACTGGAATCAGGAATGTAGGTAATGCATACATTATGTATGTAAGCAAGGTATGCAAGTGTGTGAAGATACATAATCACACACATGCATATATACATACTCACAAATTTCTGAATCCAGTCCCAACAGAAAAGTACCAAAAAACCATTTCTTTTAATAAAAATTAAAATGTATATTTCAGCTAGGTCTCATAATGTAAATATGAATTCATGTATAACATACATATCAAGAAGTTTTAACAAAATATTACAGTATAATTCAGGGGGAATATTAATAATGAGTTTTGAAAAACTTTTTTATATGCAACTCGTACATTACTACTGTCTGTCTACAGTAAGAACAGCTCCCGCCACGGTGTCTGGGGGGGGTCGCTATAGCAACAGGGCTAGTATATTTCAAATAGTGACGAACCAAGGGTTGCTTTATTGTTATTTTGTTTTTGGCAACTGTTGGCTGAAGGATAAAGAGTTTACCAATTTGTCTTCTCAGTTCCATTCCAGCTGCACGCATTTTTTCTTAATTTTTTATATTATCACTATTAGCTATTTTTATTCTCATTGTTATATGATTTGTACTGGTCTTTGTTTAAATTTGCTTCTATTTAGATTTTCGTAGTGCTTTGTTAATTGCCAATTTTTTAAAATGCCCTTCCAGTTTAAGAAAGGTCAACCTTTACAGTCTCAGGCACATCAAATCCTTTACGATGTCGCAGAATTTTGCACTTCTGAAGCTTCAGCGAACTCTTTAGTAGTTCCTCTTCCTTAAGTTTTGAAGAGAACATCGCAAGCTATTGGAGTATCGGAGTACACAATTAAAAAAATTAAGCACGAAGTATCAACAATGGCTGAAAATAAACTTCTAAATATACCTGGAAAGAAACGTAAAAGCCCTGATAATTATAAGTGCGAAATCAATGATTTTGACGAATGCGTTATATGGCAGACAATACAAGACTTTTACATCAAAGAAAAGAAAGTGCCATCTGTGTGGAAATTACTGCCAGTCTTGAGGAAAAAATAGACTTCCCGTGGCTAAAAGACTCTTTGTGCAAAGTTTCGCATTCAATAAATTTTCGCTGGAAGAAATAAACAAAAGAAAAATTCTTATCGAAAGACCTCGCATTGTATTTTGGAGGAACAATTATTTAGGCGAAATGAGGACACTCAGGGCACATGAACGTCACATTGTTTACATCAATGAAACATGGATTGACAGCAATTTAACTTTTAAGAAATGTTAGCAGCATAATACGGTTTTGGGCACACAGATAAATGTCAGTTTAAAAAATAGACCGATTGTTGTCCTCTTCTGCAGGATTTATTCCAGGTGCACCAAAAATCGAAGCAAACAACTTACATTGAAAGAAATGTTAATTAAATTAAACAAATATTAAGCTTTTTTTTTTTTTTTTTTTTTTTTTTTTTTGTGTGTGTGTAAATTTTGATACCCTTTAGATTATAATTTCTCTTCCTGCACGTAATGCGTTTACGCATGCGTGCTTAATGTTTACGAACAAGTGATTAGCACAAAAAAAAACGAAGCAAACAAATAAATATTAAGTTTTTTTCGTAAATTTTTATACCTTTTAGATCACAATTGCTGTTTATTTCATAAATTAAGGTTTGATATTTTTAATTGTATAATTTCTGCATGCCATCTTACCAGATTTAAATTGATGATCTATAATCCAGAAAAATCCCTAATCCTGATGTGCCAAAGTCCCGACGAGTCCGGATTATGGACTTTGTACTGTATATCATTGTATCAATTTATGGTTGATAGTGATATAAAAATCAGTTTATGGTTTGAAGTTGAACAAGAGTAACCAATAAACAAATGCCTGTACTTCCTTTTTCCTATCTCTGCAACTTAAAAATTAAATTTTGAAAAGATTCTACTCTTATAATTAATTACTCTATTTTAAGAAAGGAGAGAGGGAAGGATGTGTGGCAGTTGAACTAGGGTTACTATTTTATGAATTATTTTCTCCTTTATATATGAATGCTAGTTAAAGAAGTATCGTGCTTGAAAAGATTGTGAAGCAATGTATCTTTGCAAAGACAAAAAAATTTGAGATTGATTTAACTTCATTTACCAAAGGAAAATAAATGCACAAAAAATATATATAAATCTACATAGTCTTTTAGATGGATGGGAAATTCTCACTCTTAAGATTTGATTTCAATTACTGACTATGCAAGAGAAAGGAAAATTAACAAAATGTATAAATTTCTTTCTTTCACCTATATAGCTAACAGCTTGCCTTAAAGTAATTCAGTAACTGTTAAAAGACTGAAATGAAATGAAATTATCCTAACATGCTCAAGGAGAACTGAAATAAATTGCTCTTTGTATGTATAAAATTACTTTCATGGAGGATAGGCTACCACAAGTGCAAGTTTTTTATGGTTTACTTATTATTCAAATAAAGTAAACCATAAAAAACTTTTATTGCTGGAGAGGGGGACGAGACAAACTACCACTGTTTTGTATCTTTTAATTATTTGACAAAAAAAGAGGACTGCAAGCTTGAAAATGTCTGCCCTTTTAGAGAATTCATTTTAATATTAAGACTAGGAATATATTTGAAATAGCCAGTAAGCCTTGATTGATATTAAACTATCAAAATTATCGACAAATAAATTAAAAGTCTCAAACCTACAGATACAACATACTATGCCAAGTTTAAGAATTACATGCATATATCTAATTTTAGTGGCCTGAAAATTGAAACAAAGAGTCACAACATGTTTAGAACACAATGTTTTCATTTAGAGACCAGTGAAAATAAGATCTAGACATCTGTATTCTGACAGTTATACTATAATTTCAATTTATTGATTTATAAAGCACAATTACACAGCTGCCATACTGCTGAATCAATATTACATCACTGATATTAATTTTTAAAGCTTATGAAATCAGCTGTAACTTCATTGAAAAAAAACTCTACTGTATTCTTTTTATTCAAATATAATTATTTTACTTACATCGTCTTGCAGTTTTCTGTCATCTTCAAGTGACTTTGGCCTACGGGATGGTGAAATTGATCTAGATATGGAACGTCGCTTTACTTTCCGGACAGGTGATTCGGAAACTTCTCGCTTCACCTATCAGATTAATTTTTTAATTTATCACCATAAAATATTCAACTTTTTTTGTAAAATTTTGTATTAGTAATCCATATTTTACACTAATTACAGTTACTTGAAAGATTTATATTTTACATTAGTATGCCTTATAAATAAACTTTATTACATTGTGATCTGATTCTGAGGGGAAAAAAAAAAAAAAAAAAGCCTACTTGTAAGAAACAAATCACAGTTTATTGCGCTTTAAAACATAGAAAAGAGAAATATAAAAAAATTCTGAAACAGTTTCACAAGTTCCTTGAATAAAGATTGGCTCCCACACCAATAAATATCTTAGTGATATTGAGAACCAAAAATACACAATATAAAAATACTACAAAGAAGAAACTAGGAGGTCTATAAATTCAACAATGTTTTGCTTCTCAATATCATTTATGCTAAGATAAAGTAACCCAAAATGAGGTCCTGTCATCAAATAAATTAATGAAATATAAGGCATTACAAATTATATATACTGACAACATTTGAAAGAACTATTAATCTGAAAGAATTTTACTTCTTCTAACTTTTATCTTTTACAATATTAATTCGCTTAGTTTTGGCAATGAATATCATTCCAAAAAAAGTAGAATTGTTATATCATATAATTCTATAATTCAAAGAAACATAGCCAAGATATGTGTAAAGAAGGCATCAAAACTTTATAAAACTTCCTTTCACTCCAAATGAACAAGATAAAAAAATAAAATATATATAAAACTACTGGCAAAGATAATACAGTATAAAGTCCGAAATCCAGACATCCAAAATCCGGAATAATCTAAAATCCGATTTTAAAAATTTGACAGACAAAATTTTTGGAATTTAGAGAAGCAACAAACAAATTAAGGGATGACAAAATTTTTAGAATTTAGGGAAAGCACTCGGACCTAAAATTGGGACAATTTCAGCATGTGCAAATGCTGCAGGAATGCACAAGTGTAAACTTTTCCTAATTGAAAAAATATACGACCTCGAGCATGTAAAGGAGTAAAGATTTTCCCAGGTACATCATGCAAATAAAAGAAATGGATGATACAAGTGTAAATGAATAATTGTTTTGAAAATAATTTCATACACTGGATTCAGCAACATTTGAATTCAGTTGGTTTACCTGATGACGCAAAAATTGTCCTGATTGTAGACAACTGTTAGACTCGTACTTCACTTAAAAGTTTTAGTGAAAGATAATGCGTATTATGGTTTCCTCCAAATTGCATGTCCATCATTCAGCCTGTGGATATCGGAATAGTGTGCGCTTTGAAATGCAAATATAAAGCAGCATTTTACAAATCCATATTAAATTTCTTGAATAATGGAAAGACTATTCAAGAGTTTTTTTAAATATTTTAGCAAAAAATCTGCTGTGTGGAGCATTCAAATTCGTGGGAGGATGTGTTTCCAGATGCTTTAAAAAATGCTTGCTATAATTTACATCCGGCTACCATATTTCATGGTAAGGATGATGAAGATGCTAGCTGCTAATTTGAAGGTTTTCGGATACTGCAAACCAAAGGTGAAATTTTCCAATTAATGGATTTTGTAAAGAAATGTGGAGAAGTGGTAATAAACGAAGATGATACAAGAGAATTTTTTTATTGCGATGACAATGCACCAATCATCAATCAACGGACGGCAAAATCTGTAGCATGTTTCTAAATCCAGAAAATACCGCTACCAATAGTGAAAAAAAATGACAGAGAGGTTATTGAAAACAAAAAATTTCCAATTGACCAGTTAGTCGGAATTATAGACACAGCAAGTAGAGGTCTTGAACAATGGAACTTTGTAACTGAACAAGAAATTATGCCAGTCTACAGAATTCAAGAGAAAGTATTAGCATAAAAAACGAAGCTACTTAAACAACTTACATTGAAAGAAATATTTAACAAAATAAAGAAATAAATATTAAGCTTTTTGTAAATTTTGATACCTTTTTTATCATAAATTCTTTATTATTTCATAAATCACGAGTTCATATTTTTAATTTTATAATTTCTACATGCCACCATCTTACTAGATTTAAATTGATGATCTAATATCTGGAAAAATCCTAAATTCAGAATCCCCGAAGTCCTGATGAGTCCGTGATCTCGGACTTTGTATTGATAATATTTACACTGATAAAGTATGAGGGGAAACTCAGTTCACCAATTTCTGATTTACAGAAACAGCTGGCTGATTGTGGAGTTCATGTACATGCTACTACAATTTCATGAAGAATACTTGAATCCAAAAATAAATCTCTTCAGCTTCAACAAAAGGCAACTTTGGGGAAGTGAGATAGAAAACTTTAGTTCACTCAAGCAAAATACTATTTTTAGAATGGAAATTAAAAAATAACAGAAGTGTTTTCTTTCTGGACAGACTAATTTTACTGCCCAGTGTTGGTTTTTACTGCACACAAGAAAGTCATTTAAGAAAAATTTCTCATTAAATCTAAAGAACTGCAGTTTGCAATACCCAGGAAAAATAGAAGTGTTAGTTTTCTGTCCTTAAAAAGCCTCTTGCACCCACAACTGGCATGATGATTAAAAAAAATGCATTTAAGTAACACAGATGATTTTAAAAAAATGCACTATACACTCTAATAAAATTACAGACTGATGAAAACAAGATTTTACAAGGTTTTGCACCATGCCAAGAAATTTGGACATATTAATCAAATCCATGTCCCTTAATGGGAAGGAATCCTCACTTCATTCAAAAATTGGGGATCCATGATGAAAGGAAAACTAACTGAAAACAAAAGAGAATGTGTCAATCTTAATTTCTGATAGCATAACGATTTTGGTTTCATGATGATAAGGTGAAAGAAATGCATGAAAAACTACTGAAATTGATGTCGAAACATACGGAATAAGTTATTAAAACCGAAGGAGGACATATTTCGTACCAGGTTTTTAATATTAAATGTATGTTTCATTAAAATTAAGCTTTTATTTGATTTATCAAATTATTTTACTTTCTTAGATTAATTTGCACATTATTGAACTTTTACACTATGATATAAGAATTCAATTAGCTGCGTTGCGAACTTACGGGTTCGTAATAGATTGAATGCACAAGTCCGATAAAAAGTTAAAATTTATTCTTATCACAAGAAATAAAACAAAATGCTTGATTTTTTCCTCACAGATATTCATACAATATCACAATATCGCACAGCAGGTATATTTTAAACTACTAAAACGTTTAATAGAACACAATTCCAAGTGCAGCGAAAGCTAAGCAGATCTCAAAATTACAGCAGCTAAACAATCAACAACAACTTAGTAAACAACTGAACTGAGATGTTTTTCTCCAGCTTTTATAAGCTTTTTAATCAGTCACGAGAAGCTTCTCGTAATTTCTGGAAAGCAAAAGAGTAGAATTACAGTTACAGCTAACACACAGTTGCATTATTTCAAATTAAATATCAATTACAGAGATATCTATTTATTAAATGCACATGCTCCTGTATTTTTACTTTTTTGGCATAGCTTTCTCTTAAAACTTGTCACATGCTGCATTACATTGGGGAAATAAAACAATTTTAATTACAATTCTACCAAAAATAGCTAACTAAATATAAAATTTGTAACAGCTGCTTAATTACAGCAATATAATCAATCAAAGGCTAAGAAAGGGACCATAGTACAGACAACTTTTTTAATTAAACTGATTCACATTTTATGAAGGTGGAAATTACTGACAGACTTAAGACGATACCTTCAACTAAGAGACACTAACGAAAACTGGTTCAGACATGTCATACCGAGGCTAGGCAAACAAAATTTTCACATGGGTAAACTGTTCAATCATGAAGAGTGCAAAACAACAATCACATGAATAAACAACAATCACACTTCTCATAAGTTAAAATAACTTAGTAATTTGAGATATTCAAATAAAAACCTTTATTCTTTGAGCAGGAGGTGATCCTTCGGAAGAAGAGCTCGATTCACGATCAACCTTTCGTTTTTTCTTTACCTGGCGAACTTGACGAACTGGTGATGGTGATGCAGATGGTGTTGTTGCTTTTACAGGAGGAGGAGAAAAATTTCTGCAAACAATTAAAATTTCGATTTTAAAATAAAGATATAATTATAACTTCAACAGTATTCATAAAAGTAACAGATGCAGTGTTAGCAAACTTAATGTTCAAAACTAACATTGCAAGTCTGAACATTTTACATACAGCTAAAACATATGTGCAAACAGTTAATAAATTTTTATTGATCAAATAATTAAATGATTATGACAAAGCTTGTAAAAGCTGCCTTGCATGAAATGTCTTCACCAAAGACTTTTTACGAGAAATTGTCTCACATCAACATTACAAATGGAGAAAAAACAAGGAAACTTGAAATGCTAAGACATTTGTTAAAAACAAAACATGAGATAAAACATTAGTATTTACAAGTCTTACTCGTGAGGCTACAGGTGGGCACATACATACTTTTATATTGCTATCTTTCCTTTTCATAGTTTAATTTTTGAAGTACATTTATTTATATACATAAGAATAAATGGAAAAAGTGATAACTATATAATTCCCATACACAATTGCAAAATAACTACAGCACCTGGCCTATATTAAGCTCTATGGTTAATAAAAATCGGTCACTTATTAAATTCAAATTTCCAGGAACCATAACAAATATATACTAATCATTAGAAACTAACCTCTTATTACACTCATATCTGCCATTTATAAAACTCAGATTGACAAAAGGCTAAGTAAGGAGCCTTAATTCTTCAGTGCCAGAATATCCTACTTGAACCTATCAAAGCTGTTTGTAGTTCATCCATCTCACTTGTTGTGGACAGTGGCTTTTTATCGTTCAAATATATAATGCTTCTATAAAACAGGTTAAAAAATTTTTTTCTACCCCTTTTCCTGTATTTGTGGGACACTTTTTTTAGAGCTCTTTGTTTGCACTAGAACTCAAAGGGGCAAAATTTCTTTACCTTAAGGTTAACAAAAACAATCTTTTAGGAGCATGCTGGCACAAATCCTCTTCGGGGGCATACCGGATGTTAAGCGACATCATTGGGTTTGTCACCTTGCATACTGACCCATAGTACAAAAGCTTAGATATTTTAGTTCTTAGATTCACACAAAGAGATTCATTTTACTTAAAATTACAACTGAGGATAATTTTAAAGTGAAATTGTATTTAGAAAATGTTTCTAATAGGAAAATATTGGAAAATGGTTGTTGCTACCTACAGTACTATGTATCATAAAAGAAATGTGATGTTTCATCTATTTTTCACATAGATGCATTTAGTTAATGAAAGAATGGCTGCAAAGATGTCAAAGAGCAGATTGTTAACACAAAGAATGCTAGAAAATGTAAAAATCGCTTCAATGAATCTGAGAGAGCTATAAAAATAGGTTGTTAGGATTGCCAACAAAAAAATTTACTATCCCAACTGATAATATATATGACTTGGTTAGTAATTAGAATACATCAAGGCAGCAAAGGCAAATGGGGTGAATTATAATGTGCGTTTGACAGAGTTCAGAATTTCAGTTAGGCATATCTTGAAATTCAAAATGATAACAGCAGTAGCCATGATGAAATGAGTGTATATAATGTTAATGTGAAATGTTGCAGTTGTTCAAACCTCCAAAACAATGCAAGTAATTTAATGACAAAATCCAAAACAATGCAAGTAAATTATTGGCTCCGAGTTTTTTTTTTTTTTTTTTTTTTTTAAGCAGACTGAGAAAGCAGCATTTGTGAACTATTTCTTAGCAAGAAAGGGGAAAAATAAAATTAAAAAGAAATGAAAAGCTAATATTGCTTGAAAAACAGAATGAATGAAATTCTGCATAAAGATAAATTAATATCCGAATACGAATTTTTTAGTGCTGCATTTAAATAATGCTGATGATCATAATAATGCTTTTACAATAGTCATTACAAAACTTTAATTAACTCATTCCAAATGCTGCAAAATTTGTATTGATTTAATGATATATGAAATCTATTATTAGCATTAATTATTTTTTAATCAAATAGACGAAAAAGGCCTTTCCAGCATATATTCTGAAAATGTACTTGCATATTTTTATTTAACTTTCCCATAACAAAAAATATTTAAAGCCCTTATTTGTACAAATATTTATTGTTTAAATAGAAAAAGAATTCTTCATAAATGAAAAAATTTATCACAATGCTTATTGTTAGTGTGTTACTATTCAGATATAATTAAAAAAATTAACTACATTTAATGTATATTTGATCTAAAAAATTAGTTTAAACTTATGTTTTATGCATACTATAGTTCAGTATTTTGTAATTTCATGACCTACAAATCTCAAATCATTTTATCTATACTATTCCTCAAAGCTTTTTGACTCTCAAAGAAATACATATGAAACTGAAAACTAAAAAGCAAAAGACCAGCAAGCGATCACAACTACGTCACCAATCTCTTCTTCCATTTCAGGTGCGAGAAGCCAAAGAATCAAGCCTTTAGCCCTGATAAGCAATGCAAATTATGCATTCCAACTTTTAACGTTCATTCATTCAAAATCTTTACTTAAGCACACATTATGTTCAGAGAAAGTTTATAAAAAAATTCATGAAATTATTCCTAGCATTACCATACATTAATAAGCTTTGAATGGAAAAAGAATGATGACTGTTATTGTTGTCTTGTCCATATTACATGGAACAATAGTTGCCAGAGCCTACTCCGAAGAGAGGTTGGACTTCTATTTTCTACCCCCAATTTTGAGGGAGAGTAGCGGGGGAATCCAAGGGTCTCTCAAATGATGACTGTAGGCTGCAGAAAAGGCAAAGAAAGCATTGGTCATGCATCTAAACATGAAGTGCCAAATTGAATTAATAAACAAGGCGCAATCTTTCTGCTGACTAGTATTGTGATTTTTACAATTGAATAAATCCTTCTACCCCCCCCCCCCCAAATGTGTTGTGTGCTTCACTTATAATGCATCAAAAATGCCTAACTAAAAGGACTTAAGCCTGAAAGAAAAGGATAAATTGTTACAAAATCTTACTGTTCTTGGTAAATGCAACCAGAGAAATATTGCATTTAAAACTACGAATTTTTCAAACATACGGCAATTTTTTTCAAAGAGTTTTTAATCGATGAATTAAATAAAAATGCAAATGTCTCAAAGAAGCACAAAAAGGGACGGAAAATTAAGAGACACTAAAATTACTCCTATAGAATGATTTCAAGCTATGAAATTAAAATGTTCTTATTTCTAATTCACTATAAAAGATAAGATATATAATATGCTCTTTTCACTATAAAAGCTGTGCAATCCATTTAAATGCTAGGAGAAAATGTTCTACCACCTGATAGATGGCTCCCAGATTGGAAAGAAAGAAATCTATTTCACTGGAAATTGCATGATGAAGAAGAAATAAATCATCTTACAGGTGATAACCAGATAAGATATTTTAGCTGAACTGCTAAATGAAGAAAAGCTAGGTAAAATTTATAAAACAGATGAAACAAGACCGTGTTACAGAATATTACCAGATCACACATTAACAATTAAAACAGCAACATGTTCAAGAAACTGAAGGAATGAGTTACTGTAGTTATAAACATGCAATATGAACCGAACAATTAGGAAGACAGCATTGGTTATTGACAAAAGCAGAAAACCTTCATTTTTGAAAGGAATAAAAAGTTTACTTCTAACTAACACAGCAGCAGAGGCCCGGTGGCGCAGTGACTAGCACAGCAGCACCACAGGTCGGGGGTTCGATTCCCGGGCTGGGCAAGGCCGACTCAGCCTTTCACCCCTTGATTTCCATTACTTGGGTTAATAAAATGAATACCAAGTTCACTTAGGGACTAAACACTGGGGGTCCTGTGATTTAAGCTGACCACTTGTTCAGGGCATATGCTTACGTACCCCCGGGGCCCACGATCAAGAAAGTAGATTTCGGGCACTGAAGGCCTTGGCCCATTAGGGCTGTTACACCACTGAGTTTAGTTTAACACAGCAACAAGAACTTTAATGAGTAACAATTAACATTTTTACTGATTTTCTAGACAGATTACTTCTTAATGATTCGTGTGAATATGAATTCAAAGGAGATAAGCAAGTTGATATCTGTATGATAAAGACCATGCATATTATAGTCAATGCTGGAGATTAATCTCAAAACACAGATAAAACTGTTTTTGAAATATAGTTTTCATATAGAAGAAGCCTCAGAGGAACTGCAAACTTTAGCTAATAATTCAGACATCAATGACAGATGTTATGAATATTCATTTTTAGAATATTAGTCAACTGATGACAGTACTGAAATAATGTCTGAAAAAATTAACTATGGTATTAGTATTAAAAGAATTGCAGAAACTGATAATGAAAGTGGGACAAAAAAACCACCATCAATTAAATCTTGAAAAGCATTGTAAAGAAAAACTCTACCACTGAAAGGTGCTGATCAGTTTTAGGAAACTGAGCATAGAATTTAAAACTGTTTATGAACATTATGAAACAAACACAGACATAACAATTGTTTGTAAAAGTTAAAATTTCTTTAAGTACACAATTATAAAAGTACTTTTATAAAAAGTAACAAAATACATTTCAAAGCTGCATACATAGTTTAATTTTGGCATTATTTGTTTATTATTATTTTAGGATTAACTGCTGAGTTTGGTCATTAGTTAATATTTTAATAGAGAAGTTTAAAACTCGTTTCACAATTTGCAATACAGAAACTGTTGTCTATTAAACTGAGCTGCTTAATGAACTCAAATATGTTTGGAATGGGAATGATTCTAATAAGTAGTGGGTACTAAAATAAAAATATATTTTTAAGTAACCTGTGATTTATTAGACAGGACATATAATTTTCATTCAAAAGTATTGATAATAAATCAAAATTAACTGCAAAAAATATTTTTATATATTAAAACAAAATACAGTTCTAACCTTTTCCTTTGGTTATAAGATTCACTAGGAGATCGCCTAAGCCTTTCCATAGGAGAACCACCTCTTTTCTCAACTGACATAATTCTTTCACTAGATCTCTGGTGCATGTCACTGGGAGACCTGCCACGTCTATCACTAGGTGATCTTCCATGCCTATCACTAGGAGATCTACCCCGCCTATCACTTGGAGATCTACCACGTCTTTCTCCAGATCTAGCACGAACATCACTAGGAGAACGCCCTCGTCTTCTGTCCATCATTCGTGGATCTTCAGGAGTAGGCGTTCTAGGTCGAGCTCTAGGGCTTGGTCGTCTGTTGTACCGTCTATCCATATTTTGATTAGGTGACCTTCTCCTTTGTTCTTGCTCAAAATAGCGTCTTCGATCTTCTGGTGTTCGACGCCTCCTATCAACTACAAGAGAAACATATTTTTAAAATCTAATTACATTTCAAAAAATGTTACTGATATTAGAAATACAATTAATCTAATCTGTATTTATTTGATATATTTTAAAAACTACTTTGCAAGTGCTCATTAAGCAACCCACAATACCGTTTTCAACAAGCTGTATTATTGGAATTTATAAAGTGCAAGCTTGTGCTTAGAGGTGAAATTAAGCAGATTTTTGGAAGCTCACATTTAAAGGTTTAATTAACACTAATTGCACTTAATTAAAGTTTTGAGGCAAGGAGACTTTGCAAGAAATAATCATTAACATACAATTTTCCGTCATTCCCCTACACCAGGGGTTGGTACTCTGCGACTCGGTAGAATCACATATGTGGCTCTTGAGTAGTTTTAACAGTACTGGAAAATTAGCTGCAATATTGCCAAACAAAATTCAATAACCCCGCACACACATCAAAATGCACACCAGATTGCATGCATTTAAACATAGTTTTAGCTGACCTTGCTCCCCACTCCCACCGTCGCAACACTCGGAACCGATGGATTCGCTCGACCGAAATTGGCATATTGGTGATTGGCAACATTAGATTTGGTCAGTCGTTACTGCAGCAATCATGAGTTAAATTTTTGCATGTCAAGATAGCTATAAATACCACACACAGAAATGACAAATTTGGTGATGTGTTATCGAATGTTTTAAGACGGTAAGTGTTTTCTTAACATATATGATTGGCAAATAATACATTTTAATGTGTACTAAAATATGAAAGATAATTAAAAAAACACAATTAGCTCTGCATACAGTTTTTTATATGGATAACTAAAAATAATTAATAACTAATAACCCCCCCCCAGTTACACTCGAGCCAGTTAAATTTTTTACCATGGCAACACAGAAAAGGCAGTACAAAATTCAAGATGAACACCATGATTTTCAAAGTCAATGGACGGATGCATTTATGAATTTATAAAAAAACTCAGGGACTTCCAACATGCCTAATCTGCAATGAAAAATGATCAAATAACAAAAAGTCAAATATTGAGGATCAACAAAACATGCATCTTTTACTAGTATGCCCTCAAATATGAAAGAAAGATAGAAGTGATGGAATTACATGGTACACATCAACATCATTATTTAGCGACTGAATGCACTCTTCATTGCTGCAGCCAGTTTTGCCAATGTTCAGGATACAGCCATGTATGGGAAACCCTTTACCGATGCAGAATATGTTAAAAAATACTTTTTAAATATAGCTGATCTCTTATTTTAAAAATAAGAATGACATAATGAACAAACTTAATGTCACTCTATTGTCAGCAAAGACCATTCGCAAGAGAACTATCCAGATGGCGAAAAATATAACAAGTCAACAAACTAAAAGACTCGAAAGTACTGTCTGCATTTTCTATTACGTATGAAGAGTCATGTGATGCGAAAGGCATAGCAAAAGTTACACTAGTAGCGTGGTATGTATCTGAAACAGGTCTTCATGAAGAATAATGAACACTACTGCCCCTTAAGTGTTAACCTTTTCCCGGGGGCTGGGACATATATGTCCCGCACGTTCACTACTTTAAATGTGTCTCAAGAAATTTCAGTAAACTATGGAGATTTAAAATTTACTCCTTAATATGGATTAGGAAGTGCAATACCCTGTCGATTTGTTTTTCTGTTCCTTTCAGTTAAAATAAGTGACTAAATGGCCAAAATACATTCGAAATTGGACCCTATAGCCCACGGGAAAAGGTTAAACTCATGGTGAAGGTATATATACTGCTAATCAAAATCGTAAAAACAACCTTGTATTTAGCGTAAGTATATTGAAACACTCAATAGATTTCAAGGGCAGCTAAAGGTCCCTCCTCATCAGGAGAAGGAAATTCATAGTAAGAAGAAAAATAAAGGGGAAAGTCTCAGAAACACGTGGTCTTATCAACACTGCACGTGGTTATAACCGGATTTTTAATCAGAGTTACACTGGCCGCCTACTTTTACTGAGCCAGGCTATCTGATCAAACATGTAACACAAAGGACAAGAAAAATTAGCGAAGTTAAAAATAGGGAGCGAGGGGCAATTGCACCTTCACACTCAAAATCTGAACTTCGAATAATGGAAAGCAACCCCTGAATGGATTTATGTTCAAATGAGGAAAAATTTTTTCAGTTAAATTAGCAATTTTTAAATGGAGGTAATATAATTCAAATTCAATTTTAGCTAAACGTTTGCACCTGTCCCTTATAATATGACGAAGAAGTTTTATACACGTGAAATGTAGCCTTAAAGCTTCCGTTCACGTTTAAAAAATTTTGCATAAATTCAAATTGGCACTTCTTCGTCATATTATAAGGGACAGGTGCAAACGTTTAGCTAAAATTGAATTTGAATTATATTACCTCTTTAAAAATTGCTAATTCAACTGAAAAAACTTTTCCTCATTTGAACATAAATCCATTCAGGGGTTGCTTTCCATTATTCGAAGTTCAGATTTTGATCGTGAAGGTGCAATTGCCCCTCGCTCCCTATTTTTAACTTTGCTAATTTTTCTTGTCCTTTGTGTTACATGTTTGATCAGATAGCCTGGCTCAGTAAAAGTAGGCGGCCAGTGTAACTCTGATTAAAAATCCGGTTATAACCACGTGCAGTGCTGATAAGACCACGTGTTTCTGAGACTTTCCCCTTTATTTTTCTTCTTACTATGCATTTCTTTCTCCTGATGAGGAGGGACCTTTAGCTGCCCTCGAAATCAATTGAGTGTTTCAATATACTTACGCTAAATACAAGGTTGTTTTTACGATTTTGATTGGCACATTAGCGTGTTTCTCTTTTAGTCTATATATACTGCTATTTTGGAATACTTGACAGCAAATGAAATCAACCTAAATAGATTTTTTTTTTTTTTATGCTAAAGATGGAGCACCAAGTATGACACGCAAAAGCTAAGGTTTTGTTTAACTCTTCAAAGAAATGGTGGATCATGACGTGCTTTCCTTCCACTGTGTGATTCATAAGGAAGCACTTTAGAGATGTTTCCAAAAGAGATTAAACGTCTGATGGATTTAATTGTTAAGATATTATATACCAAACAATGGAAAATAATTTTCTCCCAGACAGTTTTCTGGGTTATTACAGGAAGCAAATAGCTAATATTTTTATCTTCTTTTCCATAACAAAGTGCATTGGCTGTCCAGAGGCTTAGTACTGAAATACCTTGCTTCGTACCTTGAGCATATCAAGTCATTTCAAGAAGGAATTGAATATTCTGAGTTAAGTAATGATGAATGGCTGCAAAATTTTTATTTTTCTATTGATATGACATCACATTTAAACAATTTGAATAAAAATCTACATAAGAGGGTAATATTATACATGCTGTTTTAGAAGCGATACATTCATTAACATTATTTATTCAAGACATGCAGAATGGACACTTACTGCATTTTGAAACTTTAAATGATTACAGAAACAATTCACTTCTAATATTAACAGTGTACTTTTTGTCAGTACTGTAAAAAAGCTACTGTAAAAATTGCAAGAGTCTTTTAACACTCATTTTTAAAGATTTTAGATCTGAAAAGCCTACTCTGTCATTTTTAACAAAACCACTAGTGGCAAATTTTGTGCAAGTTGAATTTTACACCATTCCCATCCACTGATAGAGCTCAAACTGAATAACAGTTGTTAAATTTTAAAAAAAAAAAAAAAAAAAAAAAAATCTATAGACAGAAAATTACATAAGTTTGCAGTCAGAACTAGAAAACTTAGTTAGAGAGAAAGGAAAATTGGCTGCCAGACACCAGTGAACGGATCTTTCAAAATGTAGGAGAGAGGAAGAAACTTGAAGCTGTCTTCCTGATTTTTATGAGCAAGTGAAAACATATACATTTGGCATCTTGACAATCTTCAGGCCTCCTTATTACAGTAAACAATTATTTTTAGATCTGACCCATTATATTAAAAAAAAAAAAAATAATAAGAAGTATTCTGAATATTCACTGAAGTTGTAACAAATTTGTGCCTCTACTCCATCCCAAAAATCTCACTAATATTACATACTTGTGTTTCGATTATTTTTACATTTACTTTCAAGCAAACCTATATAACGTACTGTAATTATGTTTACTTTAATAAATTATGAAAAAAGTTTACCCACTTTCTTTAACCCTTTGCGGCACGGTGTGACTGATCTGGGCACACCTAAAAATTTCCCTCTGTACACACAGAAAAATTGAATGAAAAATGATTTATAGGTTACTCTGAATTTTCCCTATTTGTAGTAGATGGCAGCACAACAAAAACCACTCCATATATTTTAGCCATGTTTAGTTTTTACAGAACCTAATATTCCAGATTTTTTTAGGATATAAAAAGAATTATTTGAAAAGAAATTCCTATGTTATTTTCTTTGCTGTATGGTAATCTCCTTATTCTATATTAGTTTTAAATTTTTGCCTTGAAATTTTCCCTAAAATTGATTGGCAAACATCAGGTGTGCCCAGATCGTGATCATTGAAACACTAGGACCAGACCAACAACTGTATCTTTGTTTCACTGCAACTCTCCAATGAGCTCATTTACAACAGAAATGTGAGTCCACATCTGTGTTTCACTTCTGGTTTCTCTTTTGCTTATTTTTGGTGAGAGGAAGTTTGGTTATTAACTAAAATTGTTGGGGTGATTTTCTGAAGGTCAGAGGTAATTTTATCAGTTAGTTGTTTGGTTTTTTACTTTAGTAGTTCTCTTTTTCGCTTTTGTTCAAAGAAGTTTTGTTAGTGCTACGCTTTGATAGTTTTGAAATGCAGACGTTTATTTAATTTTATTTTATAGTTTATATTTTCAAATTGTAGATATAATTAGTTTATTTTTTCTGATTTTTAATTATTTTGCAAATGGATTGGAGAGGGCTGACTATTTCTGAAGCACTGAAAATGCTACACAAATTGCCTTCAGATAGTGAATCTGATACAGATTCCAGTACATGTCCAAAACATGAAATGTTGG